ACAGATGTGGGGTACAATGACCTGGGTGGAACTGGCTGGTGGTTCAGAGTCACGCAGGTCAGCAGGTGTGAGCCCAGGTCCTGATGCAGGACCGTCCCTGGCTTGCCCTTGAGACAGGGGCAGGCTTCTGGGCCCCAGCCATGGGCCTTTGACTGATGTAGAAACTGGGTTTTAGAGAATCGGAAGGTGCGTCTGTTTCTCCCTCTGCTGTTGGGCATCCTAAGGCTAGAGTCAGCATCTCTGAGCTCATCTTGAACCATCTGTTTCCATTCCTTCATGACCACATCCAGAAAATGGGGATAGGAATAATTCCACCCTTGTAGAGTTGTTCTGAGGATTAAGTGAGATGGTGGGCCTGGGGGGCCTGGTGGAGGAAGGGCTTCACCCTGTAACCCACTAGTACTACTAACCGATTACTCAGGGGGCCGGGAACCTGCCCGCCCACGGGACTGCATAGCATCTGCCTTTACAGTAAACGGTAGCAGGCTCCCTTCCCTGTGTCTACACGTGAGGTTTGAGCTGGCGTTTCCGCGCCATATTTTCCCCTTATTTCTGCTGACAGCCTGTTGCTCTGTGAAGGGAGCTGTTGGATCAGAGCCACCGAGATCAAAGGCGTCTTGACAGTGGGCCTTTCAGTATGTTTGTTCTGTGGTCTTAGACCGAGCACTTACTGGGTACCGTGTCTGCACGTGGCACAAAGGTGTGTGTGTGTGTGTGTGTGTGTGTGTGTGTGTGTGTGTGTGTGTTAGTAAGTGAGAGGTTTGTTTTTGACTTCAAAACAGCGTATCAACCATAGAATGCTCAGGGCACTTAGAAGAAAACATCAGAGTTGTGACAGGTTCCTATCTGCTGAGTTCAGAAGGGTCATTTCCAGTTTAACCTTTGCCCACATCTTTCCTCCCCCCTCCCTTCCCCGCTTCAAGCCTTTCTTTCCTTCTGCATTCCCTCTGTTTATTCCTTCTTTCCCTCATTCTTGCAGTCCTTCTTTGGTTCCTCGGTTCCTCTCTCCCTTTCTTTCTTTCCTCCCTCTCACTCCCTGCCACCTGGCATTGACACATGAGGGGACAGTGGCTGCTGTGGCGCCTTGGAGGTGGAGCCTCTAGGCCAAGGCTGGCCTGGTCCATCAGCTGAATTCCCGGGTGGGTCGAGCAGTTGGCCTGCAGCAGAGCAGTGCCCTTGGATGCTTTCTTCTTTTCTTCCTCCACCCCACTTCCCTCCATCTCTTTGGTGCCGCCTCCTCCTCTTCTTCCAGCAGCCTGAGTGGTCTTCTCTCAGCAGTGTTTAGCAAGCACCGTCTGCAGGAATGGACGTGTGCAATGTGAAGCCAGGTCCAGGATTTACGAACGACGCCTTCATTTTCTGATTTTGAAATGCTCATTACTGTTTATTGGAAAATTACATAAAATAGGAAGAAAAGGCAGTCCCCACACAGTCCTTGTTAGCTTGTGGGGGTCTTTGTGTTTGGCTACTCAGTAGCTGGTACTGTCCCCCTCATGTAAGCTCCATCTAGACGCTGGGGTTGCAGCAGTAAATAAGACAAGGTCCCTGTACCCTAGAGTTTCCACCCCTGTGGAGGGAGCTTGTCAGGAAGGTCTCACACACAAAAAATCATTGTGGATGGAGATAAATACTGTGAGGGAAATAAAACGTGTTAGATTGGCGGTGAGTGGGGGTAGAAGGACATCAGAGGATTGGAGGAGATGGCATTGAAGTTGGCATCCAAATGATCAAAAGGACCAAGCGGGCAGAGGACAGGTGGAAGAATGTTGTAGGTCCAGGGAATACTAAGTACTAAAGCCTGGATGGTCACACTTGGGGTGTGTGAGGAGCAGAAGGAAGGCCACCGAGGGAGCCTGGAATGTTATCACGTGTGCCAAAGGAATGCCTTTGAAGGCTCCTTATGGGAAGTGGCCTGCATGCGTCTGCATTTGTAGAATATCTTCTGGTAGCTGCATAGCACCATAGGGATGTGCATGGAAGGAAGGAAGACAGGAGGACATGCAGTAGTCAACTGTAATACAACTGTAATTTATTACTTTGATGCAGTCAGGGGAGGGATGTGCTGGCTTAAACAAGGGAGGTAGTGTATATGATTTATTTCAAAGTCTTTCTGATCATTGTATTCGTATTTTGCATTTGTTGATGTCCAGATCATACATTGAGCGCCATCACGTCCTAGGCATGGCACTAAGCACTTCAACTTCTCTACATACATCTCCCACACAACACAGTGATGCAGGCATGCGAATCTTCTTTTGCATGTGAGGAAACTGGAATGCAGAGATACAAGGGGAAAATGGGAGTGGGATCACCAATCCCTTCTTTCTCCCAAACGGACTTTGTTAGAATTTAGAGGGGCACTTCTTTATGATTCTTTTATTCCCAGATGTTCAAGGGTATAATGTACAGGTGGCAGAATCAGAATTCAAACCCAAGTATGACTCACTTTGCAGCTTAACTGTACACATTTCAATTCTGCTCTAATGTAAATGTGATTGTAAACATCACCCCATACACTGTAGCTCAGCTCACGGGTTAGTCATCCATTGCCAAGAGAATGTTTAACAATCACACAAACTCAGGAGCACACACAAATAGCGTTTGTTGTTCTCTCATCTGTAATAACTGTGTGTCAGGTGTCTCTGACCTTGGCTGGACTCACACATTCAGGGAGAAGGTGATTTAGCTGACCTAGATTGGCTCACTCCACATCATCTACCTCCTCCGGCAGGCGAGATGGGGCAGGTTTATGGTGGTGACAGACACACTTCAGAGAATCGGCAGAAACGTGTGAAGGCTCTTTAGTTCCAGCCTTGGGACTGACTTTCTGTCACTTCTGCTACATTCTGTTGGCCAGCCCAGATACAAGGGATGGGGAAATAGGCTCTTCCTGAGATTGCAAGGTCACAGGGGACAGGACGTGGATGAGACCTTTGGCCGTAAGGACACAGCTACCTTTGCAAAGTGCTTGTTGTATGAGATTACAAACAGGTCTCGCCATTGGAATAGACACCACTGAATCTGCCCTCGTAGTCCAGAAAGCCAACATCCTTAGGATGTTCTTATGAGATTTTATTAATCTCTGTATACATGTGAGCATTCTTTATTGATTCTGTTAAGTCCTGGTCTCCTAGGCTAATTAGCTTCTTGTCTTTTCTTTCTTTTTTTTTTTTTTTGGTACCAGGGATTCAACCCAGGGGTGCTTAACCACTGATCCACATCACCAACCCTTGTTATTTTTTTATTTCAAGACAGGGTCTTGCTAAGTTGCTAAGATTAGCTTTGAATTTATAATCCTCCTGCCTCAGCCTCCCAAGCTGCTGGGATTACGGGTGTGTACCTCTGTGCCTGTCGGTTCCTAGTCTGTTGAAGATGTTTTCAGAGGTAGGGACATTTTACACTGAAGCAGGCAAGGAGCCCTGATGGTGGTTTTCTTTTGAAAGCTGGGGATGCCAAGAGGGTAAAAGAAGCTATTTCACACCCACCTTATGACTTTCTGTGGTCTGAGAGATCATGACAAGCCACCAACCAAACTGATTGTGGGGAGGAGGGGAGAGATGGGCAGGAGAGAATGATCTGGCAGCAAATTTTAAATCACAGGAATTTCACCCATCAATTCTAAAGGGAAACCTCTGCCCCCCCCCAAAAAAAACCCATTTTCTCTTCTCTCAGCCTTTTGTGATAGGATCATGTTCCGCCTATTAATGCTAATCAGTGATAAACCCTGGACTATGGTATGTGTTTTGAAGTGACTGCTGCAAATTTAATGCTTTGTTTATTTAACTGCCTGAATAAGGAGCACATCAGAAGGGTTGCAATTAGCCTTGAGGATTGAGTAATGAATACAACTGTAATTTATTACTTTGATGCAGTCATAAATTAAACAAACAAACAAACAACAAAAAAAAACATTGAGAACGCAGACTGTGGCTGTCCCCATTCACTGATGACTGTTACCTCATCAGCTAATTGAACATGAGCTGCTAAGTTCCTGTTAATGTAGGAAAGCAATAGGAACATCCTATTTTCCATTGTACCCTTTGGAGGTTTTAGTCACACCTCATTGGTGACAAAAGTGGAGACCAATCCTGGGTTTGAAGGTGCGTTCTAATCTCTGTCCAGATTTCTTTAAGCTCTTTGTTCCACCCTTTCCTCCAGAAATCCTCCTTGGTCCTTCTGGAAGTGACTTTCATCAAGATGCTTTTAGAAGAAGGAAACAATGTCCCATAAACTGCGGAGTCTGTGTAACCGGGTTGATCTTGTGGGTATCACTGGGGGTCTTTCCAACACAGCCCTGGAAAACACCAAGCTCACACTTCACCCAGACGGGAGAAAAGCCACATGGTTATCTTAACGGATGCTAAAAAAGCACTGGAGAAAACTTAATACATCATTTCAGTACAGTAGGGCTGGAGGGGTGGAATGCCTTAACTTGTCCAACCGTATCTACTAGGATTCTAGAATAAAGCTTCCTACTTCAGGGTGCGAAGCATTAAAGCATTTTCCACTGGAGTGTGGGACAAGCAGGGGTCACTGGTCTCATGGCCTCTTACTCCTCAGATCCTGCAGAGCCTCGTTCATGCAGTGAGATTGAAAATTTTTAATAGACACCACTGAATCTGCCCTCATAGTCCAGAAAGGCAACATCCTTAGGATGTTCTTATGAGATTTTATTAATCTCTGTATACACGTGAGCATTCTTTATTGATTCTGTTAAGTCCTAGTCTCCTAGGCTAATTAGGAATTAATGTAGGAATTATAAACATTAAGAAGCCATGACTGTTCTTAGAGGGAGAGTTGATGATTCACCAAAAAACTAAGAGAAGCTAGAACTGTTGGAACTATTAAGTCTATTATACATTATATACTATATTATATATTATATATTATATACTATATTATATATATTATATACTATTATATAAGTTAAATATATAATTTAAAAATCCATCAGTTGAGGAATGGTTAGGTAATTTCTTATGTCCAAACTATGGAATTTTGCTCAGCCTTTAAAAAGAACAAGGTAGTTTATTTGTACTGATGTGGGAACTTGCATATGGTATGTTGGTATATTGAAAAAGTAATTTAAGATATGTGGATAGTATAATCCCACTTGGCTTAAATCACTTATGTGTAAGAAACCAAGGCATGAGAGGTTCACAACCAAGTGGGTTGAGGGTGGTCACCTCTGAGAAGTGATGTGAGAGGGACTGGGAGAGAGGAGAATAGTAAGACCTAGGACTTTAGCTTTCTTGATACATTCCTGCACTTGGAATTTTGCAGGAGATATTTTTGGCGGTGTAAAAAGTTAATGTACTGACACATTCTTAAACCTACAATTTTTACATGAGGATGCTTTAAATCCACAAAAGGTAGGAAAAAAAAATAACAAAAGCTCCTCTGCCTGCATCCCAGTGACACTATTGACATTTTGGAATAAAGGGGGGGGGATGAGTCCAGCAGAAGTAATTCTATGGAAAATATGGATAAATAAGACAGCAGCAGAGTCTCTGGGGGAGAGAAAGGCCTTGGCTTTGTTTCACGGTCCTTTGCCATCTGCATTTGCCACTGGGGAAGCCATTTTTACCTGGGCTGTGGTCCAGTCAGGTTTTCTCCATTCTGCAGGTAGGGAGGACCTGCTTCCCCTGGAGGAAAGGGCTCGAAAAAGAAAGAACGCTGAGAAGGAACTACCTAAATGGGAAAGTCCCTGTTAGAATGACCACGAATGACTGTCATAGCTCAGCATCTCAGAAGTGCACCAAAAACCCAGGAATGCTCTCTATAGAAGCTGAACATTGAATTGGTGTCATGGCAAGGAGTTGGGTGGAGATGAAATGAAAGACCATGTGGTATGAGTGTGTGTGTGTGTGTGTGTGTGTGTGTGTGTGTGTGTGTGAAGCTTAAGAATATTTAATATAGCATAAAAGTACGATCCTGAAGTATAAAGGAGGATCTTGTCGTACCTTGGAGCAGTTGCATTTGGGAAGTATTAACAGATGCTTGAGAAGGTAGGGGAAGGGTGCGCTGGCCTGTGGGGTGGTGGTAGGGGTCGTAGTGATGGAGCGGTTAGGTCGTTCTGTTGTTAAGCTCAAAGAGAGTTTTTTAAGGAAAATAAAACCCCCGTTTGGTTCATTTTCTGAGGCAATGTCAAGCAGCACAAGAGCAAATCCAGCTTGACACCATCCAGCACAGATCCCAGCAGTCTCCAGAAGCTGGAGCTAAGCTGCAGCTTGGCTAATGAGAAATCCCCATCCCCTGCCAGTGCCTCGGGGCCCATCTCTTCCTCTTTGGCAAGCAGGCTGCAAATAGCTCAAAGCAGAGTGGGGACCTGAAAGGTCACCCAGAGCACTCATTTTGCAAGCTCCCTACCAGGCCCTTCCAAAAAAACAGACAAAGCATGGTTTCACGGTTTTGCTAGAATGCAAGCCAATGGCTTCTGCTCCAACCTGGGGTAGCTTTTAATGAAACCTAAAGGGTACTTCACATAGTGACCTACCATTGGCAGTGAGGATGAAGAGGAGATGAGCCCAATAGCCATGCTGGGTCCTCTCATTTATTTTCTGGGTGTGAAAGAAGCAATTGTAAAATTCAGGTGAAACCAGAAGTTAAGATTCAGAGCTCCCAGCATAAACATGTTGGTCTGTTATTAAGTTCACTTTCACCAGTAAGACGTATTCAGGAACACAATAAACCCATTGTTCCATGGATGTTTGTGCATTTCGGTGGTTTAGCCTGTACAACCGTCAAGTGGAGGGTAGATTGTCTCCATTGCGTCCTCTCTAAGTTGTTAAGTATGCTTGAACTTGCCCCCTTCTCGCTGTCTCCACTGCCATGGGTGCATGGTTTATTGCAGTGGACTTGTATCTGATCTGTCTCCAGGGGTGCCTCCTTCAATTCCTTCATGACACTCTTTGAGTCTGTTCACCAAACCCAGACTTCTTCAGTGACATTCAGGCCCTCTTAAAACATCCTTGCTAGTGGCCGCGTCTCTTGCATGTGTGCTTTCCCAACTCCATTTCTTCTTTGAATTCAGCCTTCCAGCTCCTGGAGGTCATCAAAATGCAAACCCCTGCCTTATCAGTTTTTCCTGAAAAATAATTTTTTTTTTGCAAATCACTCTCTCAAAATGCAGCTATGGCAAGTATCCTTTCCATGGTGAGCTCCCCAACCCATATGGTGTCATGTTACCATTTCCCATACTCTGGAACCACAGGAGCCATCTGGAACCATCCCAGCACCTACATTCTATCTTAACTGGCTAATTACTGGTCTTTCCCCAGGACTCACCTGGAAGATACCTTGAAGATAAACACCATGCTATTCTGTCCACCGCAGCCAGCAGTCCATTTAATGCATAGCTATGTGAATGTGCAATAGGAAAGAAAGAATGTGTGTTTTTTAAACTGAGTTTCTCCCTGCCCTGCCCAGTGTGCGAACATGTGTTTGTGTGTCTTCGTGTTGCCTGATGTGACATGAGTGAAGTCTGCATTTATCCTGCTGGGTTCTCAGAAACATGGTGAAGATGAATAAGACAAATGACACCAGAGTCACATACATACAGGTTGGAGACTCTTGCCACTCACCTTGGTTGTATCATTAAGTAGCAGTCTGCTGGGTCTCCCTGCAGTGTTCATGAATTTTAAACTCCTGTGTTGTTCCAGGTCAGCTGTTGCCAGCAAACCGCAATACACCAAGTCCCATTGATCCTGACACCATCCAGGTCCCGGTGGGTTATGAGCCAGATCCAGCAGATCTTGCCCTCTCCAGCATCCCTGGCCAAGAAATGTTTGACCCTCGCAAACGCAAGTTCTCTGAGGAAGAACTGAAGCCACAGCCCATGATTAAGAAAGCTCGCAAAGTCTTCATCCCTGATGATCTGAAGGTAAATTGGAACTGGTAATCAGGCTTTGGGAAAATGGAGAGTGGGATTGAGAGGCAAATGCAAGGGGTGACTCCAAGAAGCTCACATAAGCCAATGAATGAAGGGCACGGGGTTTCTGATCGTGTTTGGTGGCTTGTAGCTTCTTGGCCTACGGCTTCCTCTCTGGGTGTCTTCTGAAAGATGATTTCATGTCTTGACACTGAACAGAAATAAGGAGAAATAGTAAGATGTTAGATTGATGTCAAGTCTAGGAAGGAAAGACATCTGCTGCCTTCTGCAAAGAAAAGCCATGAAATATCCCATATTTAAAACCCCAATCTTTCAAGGTTGGAAAGAGAAAGAAAATACCTTGGGAAGGATGTCAGGACCTCATAGTCCTCCAACTATTATCTGCCGTTTGCAAATTTGTGGATAATCATTACCATTTCCCAGAAGGCCTCACAAATGAACAGCCAGAGATAGAACTTCCCTTCACGTTGCCAACTTGGGGTGACCAGGGTGTGATAATGTGATTGAAGCTGGTAGACTCCTTGATACTGTTTATATGTTAGCTTCACTTTGAGTTGCAAGTGGTGATCACTTGAGCATCCCAACAAAAGGCTAATTCTAGATTGGGTTTCCTTGATATCTTCAATGGTATACATTATTTATAAGGGGAAATAGATTTACCTTAGGAAATTGAATACAACGTAAGACAAAATCAATCTGACATATTTAGTCATAATTTAGGATGAGAATTCTTTCCAAAATCATGCCATGTCTACTAATACCAACATGGAATAACTTTTTTTTTTTTGTATCTGGTATTGAATTCAGGGGCATTCAACCACTGAACCACATCCCAGCTCTATTTCAAATTTTATTTAGAGACAGGGGTTCACTGAGTCGCTTAGCACCTTGCTTTTGCTGAGACTGGCTTTGAACTCACGATCTTCCTGTCTCAGCCTCCTGAGTTGCTGGAATGATGTGCCACTGTGCCCGGCATGGAACCATTTTTAATTGGCCATTTCATGGAACTGTTTTGAATATATTCTTCTTTCCAATCAGGAGGACAATGTAGATATGATTGTACATATTCAAGGCACTGAAACTATATTTAATTAGCTCTTTTCTAACATCTGACTCCCATTTCTCAAATCTAAGTATGCTCATGTGTCGACTTTCCTGGGCCAGGAAAAGGGGAGTTTGGGACATTGTCTGAACTGACTTAGTCCAGTTCCTGCTGCTTTTTAAAATCTAGGATGAACATACACAGTAAGAAGAAGTACCCAGCAGATCTAACTCACTGTTGTCACCCACATATCTGAGATTACCTTAACTGCTGCAGAATGGGAAAATGTCAGGGCTGAAAGGGACCTTAGAGATCCATTAGTCCAGAGTTATCACTTTGCAGTTGAGGAAATGGAGAAGCAGAAAGGGGAACTGAGGTTAACTCTACTTTTAGAGTAAGGCCAGCTCCCAGGTTGTCTCATTTCCAGAAAGGTCACTGCAGCATGTTATCCTGACAAGGGATACAGCAAGGGCCCTTACCCTGAGAGTCAAAAAAAAGGAAAGTGTGTGCTAAAAAGTCAGAAAATCAAAACTAGTCAGGCTGGATGGGATGAGACCAGGGTGCGGTGGGATTAGATCCAGGACAAGTTGGCACCCTCTTTCAGTTGGATGCCTGGTATGGTCTTGTGTTCTTAGTGATCCAATTCTAGGTGTATTTCAGAGCTTCATACCTCATCCGAAATCAGGGAGCCCGTTCTATATGGATTTCCTCTCCTTTGGGAGGTAGTTTGAAAGGATGCCGCTGAATACTAGATAGAACTTTCAGCCAGACTTTCATAGAGTCTCCAAATTTACACCCTCAAAGCAAAGAGCAAGATTGCTTAATAATCCAGCTAACCTTAGCAACAGAGAGGCCATGTGAAACTGTGCTGGAATTATACATGTGACAACTGTCATAGCCAGGCCTGACCTTTTCATGACCTGTTCATGGGCAGAAACATGCTCTTGCCATGTACCCTTGGGTTTTTCTTTTCTTTTTTTTTTTTGCAGTTGTATATAAAGCCTGAAGCCACAGACCATGTGCTGGCATGAAGCAGGAAGAATTGTAACATGTTCTCCTTTCTGCAGAGAGGACTGAGCTGGGGTGGGTGGGGGAGGTGTTCGTAGCCCCGGCATTGGATGATGAGTGGTGAACCGATGCCCACCCCAAAACTGGTCTTTCCCACTCCTCACGGCCAGAATTGAGCACGCTCCCCCTGGGAGAATTAAGGAATGGCATACTGGGATTTCTAACCGAAACATCAGCCTATGCATCTTGATTCCTTAATATTTTAACAGTCCATTCACTTACTTGACAAATATTTTTCAAATGCTAGTGTGTGCCAAGCCCTGTCTTGGGCCGGGGATACCAAGGATAACAATGTCAGCCAGCACTGATACTGTCCCTGGCCTCATGAAATTTCTAGTCTGGTAAAAACAAGAAAAACATGCTAACCTATGAGAAGGATCATGGCTGTGCGGGTCTTTGCTGGTGCAAATGACTGAGTATCTAGATGGCATCAGCATCTAGGAGGTTGGGAGAAGGGCACAGGGGATGTCATGCCAGGTTATCAGGCCTAAGCAAGACCCTGCTTTCCCCTCCCCACAACCATCCTGTGACGATAAAGGGAGGCGAGCTGGTTTTTCCAGGCCAGTGCGCTTGGTCTTCTTCATTCTGCCTTCTGCACCCATTGTTCCACCCCTATTCCTCACTTCCCTCCCAGAGACATTTATGCTTCATTCTGCATCTTTGCCAGCTCATCTGCATGTGTGGACTGGCGAGGCTAGAGCTGAAAGCACTTTAGACGAGCTCCAAGTAGAGACAGAGAGGCTGGTTGTTACCCTGAGCTCAGCAAGTGACTCCCTGGTCCTTAAGACCTGATAGGATTGTCACAGACCAGCAAATCCATGGCCTATGGCAATACCTCCCCCCCGGCCCTCTCTTGTCTATGATTTCCTGGGGGCTTGATCTGTCCTCGCTCACCTCCTGGGCTCCTCTTCCCTGGTGTGTAGGTTCTGATCTGTCCTGATTCAGTTCCTCTTTGGAATGCTCTTGGAAGCCGCACTCCCAGACACACTGGCCAGTGCGGTAGATTTACCTACAAAGCGGGTGGAACAGGGTCTTGCATCCAAGTGACACAAACATCCTCCATCGGAACTGGAAGCCTACTGTTGTGAATATGCTTTGGGCACCCTCCACCCCCCATGATGTCATTGGCTCTTCTAGTTCCTCCCAGTCTCTCTGCCTTTCTTCCAGCTCCTCCAACTCCCTTTCAGAAGCACAAATGATAGGTTCTACCAACAACCCTAGCACACTGGTCCAAGCTTACTTATCAGGTATTCTTCAGTGGGCAGCCTCCTCCCTCAGAAGAATTCTGGTACCACCTATCATAAAGATTCTTTTCACTCTATTATACATTATTATAAAATGTATGGAAAGCTGGGGGTGCTTTATAAGTAAGATGACAGTGACCAGCAGACAGGACACACTTTCCACCTCACATACTCTGCATAGTGTGAATGTGTGCTAAGGGTGACAGGTAGGTCTGGGGAAAGACCATGATCTTGGACTTTCCTGGCAGCCTTTCCCCAATCCCAATGACCTCTTCCAGTGCCAGCTGTCCCTTGGAATCCAGGGGGAGGGTAAGGACTGGCCTCACCGACATATTCTGGGTGGCATGCACAGGTAAGACGGAGGGGTTTTGCTATTGCAAGTTGTTAGGCAAAGACACTTGCATAATTGATCAGGTGGCACTATCAATGAACTGGGAAGGTCTAAAAGAAGACTCACAGTTCTTAGTCTCCCTAAGACGCTTTCCCTTTCTTTTGTTAAGGGGAAAAGGAGGGTCTGCTTTCACACTGACCAACTGAATTCTACCCAGGCTAGCTGGGGCCTAGTGAACAGCTAAATAGAAAACTAGAGTAAGTTATTTAAATGTTAGCCACTGATGTGAGTACATTGGTTAGTGGCAGGACAAAGCACTTTAAAAAAAAATTTCCATTTTCAACCACCAAAGTGTACATGCCCATTATATAATATTCTTTTAGTTCAGAAAGGCATAAAAGGTTAAAGACCCCACTTGTCTCCTTTGTCTCTCTCTACAGTCACTTTTTAGAGGTACCACTTTTGTAGCTTGGTATAAATCCTTCTAAGCCTCTTTCTATGAATATGTTATGTTACGTTTTTTTAATCAAGCCAAAATGAAGTCACACATATTTATCAGCAGGTTGTCCTTGGTTCCACCCACACTGTAGTATATCATGAACATCTTTTGGGTTCAGTGGATTATTATTTTTTAACTGCTACAGAGTGTCGCCGTGACTATCCTAATGTAGTAAATCTCCTACAGATAATTATTTTTCCCCCCATTTTTTTCCTTTACAAACAATGCTACAATAACAATTCTGGGCCTGTGTCTCTGTGCACAAGCACGGTCATTGCAGCAGAATGGAATCCTAGAAGCAGAATTGCTAGATGGATAGTAAATGCAGGAAATGGTTGAGACATGTTGCTAAATTGCCTTCCAAAAAATATTATATGAATTTACTGCAATAAATAAATAAATAAGCATAGGAGTACACATGGAAGGAAAAAAAAAAGTTCTTAAAAATTTCAGCCAAGAGAGGCAAGAAGATTGGAATGTCGTTCAGGGTGAGAGGCAAGTCACTTGCTTTCATTCCAGTTCTGATGTCTCCCTCACTGAGCACATGCTCTGTTGGGCAAAGAGCTTTGGAGCCTGTTGTGACAAGTTGGTCCTTGCTCCAGGAAGGAAGCCATGGCCCGTGGGCCGCTCTCTCCCATGTGCAGAAAGTGTCAAAGAAGGAGGCCCAAGTTAAGCACCTGGGCTGGTGTCTCCGCACAACCCTAGAGGCTGCCAGCCCCCTGGCCGAGGCGCTGCATTGCTGAAATCTAATATCTTGTTTCTTTTTCCTTCTGTCACTAATGAGCAGGATGACAAGTACTGGGCAAGGCGCAGAAAGAACAACATGGCTGCCAAGCGCTCCCGCGACGCCCGGCGGCTGAAGGAGAACCAGATTGCCATCCGGGCTTCGTTCCTGGAGAAGGAGAACTCGGCCCTCCGCCAGGAGGTGGCTGACTTGAGGAAGGAGCTGGGCAAATGCAAGAACATACTTGCCAAGTACGAGGCCAGGCACGGGCCCCTGTAGCAT